ATGTATGTATGTATGTATGTATGTATGTATGTATGTATGTATGTATGAATGTATGTATATTTATCTATTTACTTTCTCGAAGATGTCTTCATTCAAATAAAATAGTTTATCAAAAACAGATAAACAGAACACATTCATTTGAATGCTCCAAAACAAATTAAATATGAAATATCTTCATCTGATTTATTGTCATTGTTTGTGACAATTATTTCCGAGGAAAATACACCATCCTAAATGTTTCAAACAGAGAGGTTCTCTAGTTGAATTATGGCCTATTCAATCATGAAATGTTTTTGTGTCAAGGGACCAGCATAATTCATACTGTTTATATCCTCTCAAACCTATCCTGTTATTCTAAAGTACACAAGTTACTAAAATTCATAAAACAGAAAAGTAGGTGTAGTAGGTCGACACCCGTGAATAGCACCTTACTTTTTTACACAATACTTTTTTATTCACTTTTTTCCGTAATATCTTATTTAATTAATACTGTTTCTTCTGTGTTGAAAAGCCATTTGTAAATCTAGTTTAGCACTTTTTGACTGGACACAGGGTTATTGATATTTTCCAAGTTTATTTACAACAAAGTTTCTATTCATAATACACCTAAAACAGATCTTATCTAGAAAAATTTAACACATTGTATAATGGTAAATTATCTGTTTAAAAACATTATTGAACTATGCTAAATATGTAAAAATACACAGAACAAATGTAAAATCTCATTGTCTTCAGAAGATTTTTGTAAAAGCCCACAATACCTAAATCTATGTAATTATTACAACATTTGTACATATAGTCTATCATAAAATGTGGTTATAAGCAGCCCCTACCTCTTTGCGTTGCTAACCAGAAGGGTTTAAGTTTGAAATGATATGGAGGAACTGTGAACAGGATGTGTTTGTTCAGGAAACCAACCGGAACTGCTAGAAGGCTCCACCTGCTGCAGGTGAGGAGCCAACAAACTACCTCATTTGTTTGCTCACAGTTTGACTCAGAGTTTTTACTAACTCAATTTCATAAATGTGAATGCTTTCGTAGAGATGAGGGTTAAGAAAA